CCCCTCCCACCTAAGATGCAAACTAAAAGCCCCCGTCCCTCCCCTGCCCCCCTCCCCCCACCCCGGGGGCCTTTCTGGTTCCGTGTACAACACTGTGCTACCTCGCCCCCGCTCCCCTAATAAGGGGGGAGGGCGAGTTTCTGGTGACCTTCCCCCCAAATCTGTCCAAGGGGGCGGATGGACCCTTGAAAGAGGCCAGAGTTGGGGGTCTGAGATGGGAAGGGGGACTTCGATGAGGGGGAGTGCCAGAAAATGGAAGACTTGGAGGTTTGGGGGGTTTCGACCCCCGCTACTGCCTCTCCCTCCCCCGACGGGGCCTCGAGGGGGAAGAGGCGGGCACAGGTGTGGAAATGGCACGGAGTAATTCCCTCCACCCTAGGGTCTCCATCCCTGTCATGTGGCGTGCGGGGCTAGATGCACCTAGGGGCGTTGGGTGAGCGGGGAGAAAGGAGGAAGACAGAGCTGGAGGATGAGGAAGAAGAGGAAGAAAAAGAAGCCAAGGGCAGCTGAGAAAACAAAGAGATCCTTCCGACGGCGCCCGCTAAAAGGCTGGTGACCTTCAGGAGGCCGAGAAGAGCCCAGCCGGTGAGGAAGAAAGGGGCCTCCCAGGGGAGCAGAGAACTGGGAGGGGGGGACACCAGGTAAAGCACGCCCCGGCCTCCCGCTCCCCACCCCACCGCGCAGCTGCGGGCGCAGCAGGAACACCGGCCGCTGCACCCCCGGGCCCGGAAGGTCCGGAGATGAGATCGTGCGGGGAAAGAGAGAAGTCGGGGCCGAGGGGAGAAGAGGATGGTTGGCATTCCAGGCGGCTGCCGAACCTACTCTCCAGCCCGGCGCCCCTGCGGCGAGGCAGCAGGCTGTGGGGCTCGGGGCGGGTGGGCGCCTGCCCCGCGGGCCCCCGGCGCGCACTGCGCGCAGCAGGGAAACCGCGGCCCGGAAACTGGAGGGGAGGGGCGGGGCCAGAGGTAAGGGGCGGGCCCCGGGGGAAGGGGCGGGGCCGTCTGCGAGTGGATCGGACCGAGGAGGTCGAGAGGCCCCGAAGGGGGAGGAGCCCTTGGAAAGTAGGAGGGGCTAGGACGGCGGGGCGGGGCCACCAGGAAGAGGGCGGGGCTAAAGCGTACGCCGCATCCTCCCCGAGGGATCGAGAAGTCCCGAGGGAGGGAGCGGAGCTGTGGGGCCCGGAGACCGCGGAGGAGGAGGAGGAGGAGGAGGAGGAGGAGCAAGAGAAGGAGGAGGCGGGAGCGCCGAGGGGCGGGCCTCAGCAGGGCGAGGTGGAGATGTGCAGGTGGTCCGGGTACTTGATGGCGGGAGGGTAGTTCTGCGTCATCTGGATGGAGACGTCGCTGGAGATGTCGGAGGGGCTGCGGCCGCGGCGCCACGCCTCAGGCTGCAGAAACTGGCCCGAGTAGTCGGAGCAGTCGCTGAGACGCGGGCGGTAGAAGGCCGGGTGCGGACGGTACATCTCCTCCTCCGCGTAGCGCTTGGTGAACAAGTACACGGACATCACGCCAGCCCCCTGTGGCAACGCATGGTCAGGGTCCCAGAGGCTGGCCCCGAGGTCCCAAGGGCCCCAAGGGTCCAGACCCCCCAGCCCCTCCTCGCTCAGACCCAGAAGTCCAGGCCCGCAGCCCCCTCCTCTTTCAGACCCAGGAGTCAGGGACCCCAGGCCCCTCCTCCCGCAGACCCAGGAGTCCAGACCCCCAGCCCCCTCCTCCCTCAGACCCAGAAGTCCAGGCCCGCAGCCCCCTCCTCTTTCAGACCCAGGAGTCAGGGACCCCAGCCCCCTCCTCCCTCAGACCCAGGAGTCCAGATCCCCAGAACCCTCCTCCCTCAGACCCAGGAGTCCAGGCCCGCAGCCCCTCCTCCCTCAGACCCAGGAGTCCAGGCCCCCAGCCCCTCCCCCCACCAGGACCCCAGAAGTTGGGAGCTGTTAGACCCCTCCTCCAGGTCCCAGGGGTTAGGCCCTCAGCCACCACCTCCCTTTTAAATCCAGAGTCTATACCCCCAGTTTCCTCTTCGTCCTGGACCCAGGATTGAGGTCCCCGCAGACCCCTCCCCATTCACGTCTGGGCCCCACAGACATCACCTCTTTGAGTAGGAAGGAGGAAGCAGCGAAGGCAAAAGACCACCCGTAGCGGTAGTGGAAATACTGCTCAGAGCTGCTGGGCCTGTTCATGACCTCGTCATTGATGCTGGAAATGTAGAGAACCAAGCCCACCACCAAGGAGAGGCCTGAGGAGCAGAGGGTGCCCTTGGTCCGTTAGCAGTGGACCCCTCTCCCATCTCACTGCCATCCCCTCCCCTTTCCTCCCTGCTCTGTCCTGAACTAAATTCCATTTTTTGAAGCCCCTTGTGTGCTGGGCCTTGGCTGGCTGCAGGGGTCCCAGAGATGAATGAACTTCCCCTTCCCCCTCCCCTAATCTCCCGTCCAGGAGTTCACAGTGCAATTGGGGAAGGCAAATATGGACATTGGTGGATAGTCACATACACGGTGACATGCGCAGCAAGGAGGTAGTAGCAAGAGTTCTGTGGGTCCAGAAGAGGCACCAACCCACCTAGGGGAGGGGCAGGGACTGGGGGAGGGGCAGGGGAAGTCAAGGAAAGCTTCCTGGAAGAAGGGCCTTTGTCCAAGTCCTAAAGGATGAGGTCCGGGGAGAAGAGTACACAGTTATACCACTCCAGGCAGAGGGAACAGCATGGCCAAAGGAGAGGGAGCACCGAACTGATCCATCCACATAGCCAAAACATGGGCCACAGCCACAAAATATGAGGCCAGAGAAAGGGGCAGAGACACGGCCATGATGGGCCTCAAATGCCAAGCTGAGGAGCTTGGCATCGATGCGAAGGGCATTAGGGAGCCATGGAAGGTCTGGAGCAGAGGAAGGACAGGGTCAGATAGGAGTGTCAGAAGAACTCTTGCAGGACGGTTGGTTCTGGGAAGAGACTGGAGGGAGAGACTAGTTGCGACATTCCAGGGGGAAGAGGATGAGGCCGGAGTTGAGACTGTGTGAGTCATAGCAACAAATCGATAATAATACTAATAAAACAATAGCAACTGCTTATATAGGTCTTGCCCTGTGCCGGGCACCGTTCTCAGTGTTGTACATGTATTAACTTATTGAACCCTACCAACGGTCCTTCCACAGAAGTACTACCTTTATCAACACTGACAGTTGAGGGAATAGAAGCACATGGAGAAGGTGGGGAGGAGGTGTCTGGTTTGAGAAATCTCTAGAGTCAGATATCACGTCCTCAAGCTGGACGTCTTTTAAAGAGCAGCCATGCCAAGTGTGGCTTACGGAGGTTATAGGGTCCCCTGCCCTAAATCCATGCAAGTCATCCCTATCAGCATCTTCCCCCAGATAAACATTTGCGTGCCCATCACACCCAAAATAAATCTAAATTCCTTCCATTGCCTACAACAGGGTTTAGCCAACAGCGGCCCATGAGCTCCATCCAGCCCACCTCCTGTTTTTGTAGGGTCTACTAGCTAAGAATGGCTTTTACACGATCAAATTGTTGAAAAAAAAATCGAAAGAAGAATGATATTTTGTGGCATGTAGAAAAGTATATGAATTTCATTTGGCAGTTCCTCAAAGTGTTAAAGATAGAATCACCACATGACCCAGTGATTCCACTGCTAGGTATCTCTACCCAAGAGAATAGGAAACATATGTTCGCACAAAAACTTTGCATGAATGTTTGTAGCAGCATTCTTCATAATAGCCGAAAAGTGGAAACAACCCAAGTGTCTATCAACTAAATGGATAAACAAAATGTGGTATAGCCATATAAAGGAATATTATTCAGCCAAAAAAAGGAATGAAATACTGATTTACACTGCCACATGGATGAACTTGGAAAATAAGCAAAAGAAAGAAGGCAGATACATACTGTATGATTCCATTTATATGCCATGTCGAAAATAGGCAAATCCATAGAGAGAGAAAGTGGATTAGTGGTTGCCAAGGAGCGGGGTGGAGGGGAGATTCCCACTGGCTGTCGTTAAAGGGTATGAGGTTTCTTGCTGGGATGATGAAAATGTTGCGAAACCAGGTAATGGGGATGGTCGCACAACCTTGCAAATATACTCAAACCCCCGAATTATGTGAACTTTATGTTTTGTGAATTGTAACATCTCAGTTTAAAAAGTATACGGATTCCTCATGTCAGGGTCTATAAATAAAATGTTGCTGGCACCCAGCCACAACCCTTCGCTTCCGCGTAGCCTCCGCCTGCAGTCGCAAGGTAAAACAATCGTGGCAGAAACTGTACAGCCAGGAAAGCCGAAAATGTTCATTAACAGGCCTTTTACAGAAAAACTTTCCTGACCCTGGACTGCAATGCCTATGCAGCCTGCGCCCCACTGGCCTCATCCCTGGACAGTTTCTCCTTGTTCCCTCTACTTGAATCACACGACTTCCTCACGCTTCCTTGAACACATCAAGCTGATTTCTGCCTCAGGGCCTTTGCTCTTGCTGTTCCCCCCAACTGTATTGCTCTTCCTCCAGATTTGTCCACGTCTCTCTTTCACTTCATTTACATCTCCCCTCCCTTGTCACTTCTTTAGAAAGGCCTTCTTTGAGCTCCTTGTTTAAAAAGAAAAACGTGGGGGCACCCGGGTGGCTCAGTCGGTTAAATGGCTGACTCTTGATTTTGGCTCAGGTCATGATCTCAGGGTCCTGGGATCGAGCCCCATGTAGGGCTCCACGCTCAGCAGGGAGTCTGCTTGAGGATTCTCTCTCTCTCCCTCCACTTACTCCCTCCACAAACCCCCCCCAAATAAATAAATACATCTTTTAAAAAAATGCTCCTTTACTTAGAATAAGAAAAATGTTGATGGAAACTGTGAAGAGATGTCCTTTCTCATCCATCAGGTCATCAAAAGTTAAAAAGCTTCACAACATACTCTTCTGGTGAGGCCGGGGAAACAGAAGCTCTTACGTGTTGCTGGTGGGAATGCAAAATGGCCCAGCCCGAGTGAAGGGGAATCTGGCCATATCTAGCAAAACCACACATGTATCTGTCCTTTAACTCCACAATCTCACTCGTAAGAACTTACCCTGCAGCTATCTGTCCAACCACACAAAAGCACACAGAGGCATGCTAATTCACCTCATTACCCATAACTGCAAAATCCTAGAAACGACCTACATGCACTTACACAGAGGATTAGTGGGATAAACTGTCAAACATCACAGAGTAGAGTACTGTGCCATTGTGAAGTGAGAACGAGGAAGTTCTCTGTGAACTGGAGCGGAGTTCAATGATAGTTCCAGATGCTATCACTCAGTTAAAAAAAAAAAAAGTAATGCACAAAACAGTATACAGGATGCTAGCTTTTAAGCAAAACTAAATAAATAAATAAAATACATATATGCATCTGCTGATTTTTGCAAAAAGAGACACAGTAAGGAAAACCAACAAATGAGGTTGATCACCTACAGGAGGTAAGTGAGAACAGGAAGGAAGTGGTCCTCCTCTGAGTACGTATTTTTGCGTGATTTGGACCCTTGGAAGAATGTTAATATTTTATATATTTGAAAGCTAAAATCAACAAGGATGGGGGAAAAAACCTAAAGTTGAATACAAACAAAAATAAATGAAGCTAACTTTATATCAAATGAACGATACAACCACGGGAGGGGGTAAAAGTAGTATTCTAAGTAACTTTCAAATACAGTACTTTGATTATATATTTCACTCTAAAGACAAAAGATCTGCAAAGAAATCTTGAACCTTAGTACCTTTCTGGGGAAATGGTTTAGAGGTAGCAGGTCTTAAGCAGTGTAGGGCTGAGCAAATCTGCAAATATACTGATATTTAGGGAGCTGGATTCTGGTGCTGAAAAAAGGAAGACACAGATCAGAATGGGGTAAGATGAAGAAGACCCCAGATGATAGTAAAAACCTCCTGTTTTACAAGCACATAATTCCCCAATTTGTGTCCTGAAACATCCTAGAGACAGTGTAGCAATGAGCCCACCTAGCACCGAACTTTTGGTCTCTAATATCATCCCCCACTAAATAAGAAGCTAGGGCTTCCAGAAGAAATAGCTCATTTGAAGCCTGGGGGAGAGGCAGTAAAAGTGCGCTTGTGCCAAAGGAAGGAAAAACTCAAAAAATGAGAGGGACACGTCAGAAGAGGATGCAGGGACTAGTTTGAAGGGGGTCCCTGATAGTCCAACTAGGGACAATTTGAACATCAAAATGAATAATAGAGGTAATGGCATATACTGGGGCACCTGGGTGGCTCAGTCAGGTAGGTGGCTGACTCTTGATTTCAGCTCAGGTCATCATCTCAGGGTCATGGGATTGAACCCCCCGGGGTGGGCTCCCTGCTCAGTGGGGAGTCTGCTTCTCTCCCTCTCCCTCTGCCCGTCCCACCCAGTGGGGATTCTCACATGTGCACCACACTCTCTCTAAAATAAATCAATAGGGCACCTGGGTGGTTGTTAAATGTCTGCCTTCAGCTCAGGTCATGTTCCCAGGGTCCTGGGATCGAGTCCTGCATCAGGCTCCTTGCTCAGCAGGGAGCTGCTTCCCTCTCTCCCTCTGCCACTTCCCACCCCCGCCACCGACAAATAAATAAATAAAATCTTAAAAAAAAAAAAAAAGAAATGGCATGTAACATGCTGAATTTTAAAAAATGTGAACCCATACTGATATATTTTTAAAAAAATAAACAAATAATAAAAGAATAGAAAAAATTCTTCTTTTCGGTGGTATACCTGTAGATGGAACAGCAGATTTAGAAAACCCCATTTTGCAACCCTACGAGTAATATTAGGATGTCGGCCAGCATCATCAGTGGCCATTAAATCACTGCACGACAGAATCTCCCCCTGGAATATCTATTAATTCATAAAGAGGATTTTTAAAAACTTCCTTTATCATAAAGGAACCCAACACACCATCTCAAGCAAGTGACTAAAACTAACATCACCAATAACAGGGCAGACGGACACCATTACCTCCTGATGCGAGCCTGCCACTACTCCATTTACGTAGGGTTCCTGCTGAAAATGTGTAACCTGAATCCATTCCTAAGAAAACCATGGGCATTCTACTAGATGCCTGGCTGCTCTCTTCAAAAAAAAAGTCAACATGAAAGGTATTTCTTTTTTAAAAAGGCACAGGTACTATATAAAAGATAAAAGGCAACAAAGGAGACAGGACAAAGACATACGAAGTGTGATCCTAGATTGGATACTGAATGGGGGGAAAATGACG